CTTGTATCCTTAATTCTTTCATCAGAAAAGATATTTCAGCGTGTTAGGACCCTGGTGGCAGTGAGTTACGCATTGGGCTGCTAACTGTGAGGTCAGCAATTCAAAACCACCAGCGGCTCCTGGAGAGAGAGGTGAGGCTTAGTCTTGGAACCCTAAAGGGCAGTTCTAGTCTATTCTCTAGGGTTGTCTGAGTCAGAATTGACTCGATGGCAGTGAGTTTGGAGTTTGATTTGAGGGTCAACCAACTGGCTGGAGCCCGTCTACGTACCAGCACGCATTTCTTTACATTTCTGTTTCAGTTCCAGAGGCGTCAGGCGGTATTGGTCCAGCCCATCATTCCACCTGATTCTCTCCAGCACCTGAAGGTCTCCACCAACCAGCCAATCACCACTCTCCATCACCATCTAGAAGGAGCATTAATAAAGTTGGCAATGAGTGATACTGATTTCTGTCTCATTTGAATATTTTCTTTTCATTGCTGGCTCCATCGAGCTGTTGCTGGTGACGGCAGTCCTGCTGGCCAGGGGACAGGACAGTCCCTCACAAGAGTGACCGGGGCCAAACCATGCATGGTGCTGAGGTTGAGAGAGCCTGGGGCAGAGAGAGGTTGATGAGGCAAGTGATTTAGTTGTGTTGTCACAGCTTCATCTCGAAGACCTGTGCTCAGGCCAGTCGTTGAACAAGAAAGGAGCCTTGTCGAATGCTTACCTATACATTGGCTGAGTCCACACTGCTTAGAATTATCATTGTACCATCAGATGCTGTTGAGTTGATTGTAACTCATAGCTACCCCCACGGGACAGGGTAGAACAGAGGCTTTTCTGAGCTACCTTATTTCTGGGAGCAGACTGCCAGGTCTTTCTTCCATGGGGCTCTTCAGTGCATTCTAATTGCCAGCCTTTCAGTGAGCAGCCAAGTGCTTGAACATTCACAATGCCCTAAACCCCCAAACCCACTACCACCAAATCGATTCCAACTCATACCTATGGTGTAAAGGATGTCCAAGACTGTCAATCTGGATCAGCTGGTGGGTTTGAACCCAGGGCCCTGCAGTGAGCAGCCCAATGTATAACAAAGGACAACAACAAGGCTCCTTACAGCACCAACCAAAGACCCAACTAAAATCACTACCGTGGAGTTGATCCCAACTCCTTGCACCCCTATGGGCCAGAGTACAACCGCTCCTGAGGGTGGCTGATATTGTGAACCTTTACGGGAGCCAACAGTTCCCATCTTTCTCCTGCAGAGCAGCTAGTGGGTTTGAACCACTGACCAACCACTTAACAGTCCAACATCCCCAAGGATGCTTAGCTGTTAATCAAAACCCAAACCAAACCCATTGCCACCAAGTCTATTCCAACTCATAACGACCCTGTACAGGGCTTCCAAGGGGACATTTTTAAAAGATCATTTT